GCCATGATGTACTGTGCTGTCATAGGCCCAAAGCCAATGAGGCCAAGTAAGTATGGACTGAAACTTCTGAAACCATGAGCCAAAATAAACCTTTCCTCATATAAGTTGATTATCTCAGACATGTTGTCACAGTGATGAAAAGCTGATTAAAACTAGTTTCTGAAGCTGCCAGTTTCTGTTAAAGAAGAAATTTTATTCAGAGAGAATGATATGTGCCAAATCAAGGAGGCTCGTGTATGGCTTTGCTGTAGGTGCCCTTGGAGGACTTGGGGGGAGTCAGTTACATTCTATTACGAAATGGACGAGGAAAGAGAAGTGATACTAGCAGACTTACATTATCTCTCTCTCATTCTATCTCTCATCTAGTCATAAATACAGAATAGATATTTTCTGAAGAATATGTATTGTTAAAAACTTATTAACAATATAGGAAGTTTTAGTGTAAATTCCCTTGATATTTTATTTTTCACATCTTATTATCTGATTTTCCAAACTTTCAATATGCTCTTTCTATTTCAATTTTTCCTGTATACATTCAACAGATGTGCTTCATTTTATGCATGAAATGAGTTCTTGTAAATTTGTGTGATTTTTTTTCAGCAAATGCAATATTACATTAAAGATAGTAAGGAAGTTATTTTTTAAAGAACCTTATGCCAAATTGCTTTTTAAAGCAAATAATGACCCTATAACCAATCTTTCACTAAATCTAGATTTCCATATATCAGATTTAACTAAAAAAGATACATCTGTACTTTATTTTTACATCTGTCTGTGAGCTGTACTACAACATAATAGTATGCCAATTTGAAATGCCATAATTTTTATACTTTTTCATTTCTCACAATGCAATCTTAGAAAAAATATTATTTTCCGTACTATACTCATTCTTTCTTCCTTTTCCTTAGTGGAACTTTAGCACTGCCACTTCGCTTACTCCAAAATTTGAGAGTGTTGGCAGTAATTTACAAAGTTAGACATTCATCCTATATGCAGCAGTACCGATGTGACACAGTTGTATGAAGTACCATGCATGTTCAAATTTAATTTTTACAATAAACTTCTGAGATATGAACAGTTTCCTACTGTATAAGTTAGGAAACAGGTTCAGAAAAATTCAGCTTCTATAGGTTTGCAAACTGTGTTCCAGTCATATCAGCTGACTTCATTTCCCCCCAACGTTATTGAGGAATAATTGATACATAAAACTGTATATATTTAACGTGTTCAATGTGATGTTTGACCTATGTATACTTTGTGAAATGACTACCACCACACTCGGGCCAATTAACCTATTTAGAGTGCATATGTGTGTGTGTGTGTGTGTGTGTGTGTGTGTGTGTGTGTGTGTGCGATGACATCATTTAAGATCACCTTCTTTGTGAATTTTAAGTATACAACATAGTGTTATTAACTACAGTCACCCTGCAGTACATTAGTTTTCTAGATCTTATAATCTTACTTAACTGAAGCTTTCTATTCATGACCAGCAGCTCCACATTTCTGCTACCTCAGCCTCAGGAAAGCAGTATTCTACTCTGCCTAACAGCTCAACATTGTTTGATTCTAAAAATCACCTAAGTTTGTCTTTCCGTGCTTGGCCTATTTCATTTAACATAACATCCTTTGGTCCATCTATGTTGTAAATAATGAAATATTCTTTTTAAAGCTCAAATTATATTCTGCTCTGTGTTTAAATATACACATCACATTTTCCTTATTCATTTTTCTATGGATACTTGCGTTTTTCCACATTTTGGCTATTGTAAGTGATGCTACAATGAACATAGAAATCCAAATATCTCTTAGAGATAGTGTTTTCATTTCCTTTGGATATACACTCAGAAATCTACCAGATCATAATGTAATTCAAATTTTAATTTTAACTTTTGAGGAATTTCCTTATGTGTCTGAGCTTCACCAACAGCTTGCAAGGGTTCTCTTTTTTCTACTTCCTGTCAATAATTGGTATATTTTATGTTTTGTTAATACAATGGACTCTCAAGATTTGTTTAGCTTGACATACAAACAACTTGGATCATTACCAGAATTTTAGTTTTAACTTACAAACAAAATCTTGAGTTATAACACAAATGCCAGCTGCTTGTACTTTCAGATGGTCTTAGATACAGATTTAACCCTTAAAGAGTCCTGGAAGAAACATTACAACATCATTTCCTGCGGGGGGTTAATTGAGAGATCATTGGTCAATGTTCCTCTAAGAACGCTGAGATCTAGCTGTCTACAAGAAAGAGACTTTGAAGGCTGTGTAGAGGAGCCTGAACCTTCAACTAACCAATTTGAGTTGTGACCAGCCCTCACAAACTGAGTTTGTAAGTCAAGGGTCCACTGTAGTTATTTTCATAGATATGCCACGATTTGTGGTATTAATTTGTATTTCCTAGATGATAAAAGTTTGTTCATGTTTTTCAAATAGCCCACAGGGTTCTTGTATGTTTTCTTTTTAGATATTTTTAAGAAGGTGTTTGTTTTATAAGAGGGTTATGTTTAAGAGGGTTATTGTTGTGGTGATTGAGTTCCTCGCATTTTCTGTATATGAATCCCTTATCAGATATATAGATTTAAAATGTATTTCCCATTCTGCAGGTTGTCTTTTCACTCTGATGATTACTTTCTTTTCTATGCAGAAGATTTTAGCTTGATATAATCCCACTTGTCTGTTTTTATTTTTGTTGCCTGTGCTTTCCAAGTCATATTTTCAAAAACCATGGCACAGAACAATGTCAAGAAGCTTCTTTCCCACATTTCGTTTTAGGGGTTGTAAAGCTGTATGTAGGTCTCATATTTAAGTCTTTCAACCACTTTGAGTTTTTCTTTCTTTTTTTTATTGTGGATTTGCTAAGTGTTTACTTTCATTCTACTACACATGTATATCAAGTTTTTCTAATGCTGTCATTTCTGCATTGTGTGCTTTTGTTAAGTCAGCCTGATCAACATAATGACTACTACTGTGTATTCTTTTATTATTGGACTAATGATGATTAAGAAAAAAAGGTTTGGGTGAATGCTGTTGGGAAAAACTGCATTTTCACTAATCCAAAGAGAGTCTAATAATGTATCTGCCATTGGGTGCCTGGACATGATAGTTACTTATTTTAGACCTCAGTTTTCTCACCTATGAAACATAATAACTAAAGTCTCCTGAGACAAATATATTGAAGTTCTATTGTACTAAGATGAGACGTTGCACATACTGTGTATTAGTCAGATTTTTGTCACTGTTGCAAATTACCCAATGCACATAACTTAAATTAGAAGTTTATTTGACTCATGGTTTCAAATGATTTAGTCCATATATATATATGCAGGTACTCAGACATGAGCAGTGGGGTATGGTCTAGGATGTCTGAGTCAGTACAGGTTATACTTTCTGATAACAGGAAGTGGGAGGTGGGAGGTAGGGCCAGGGTGTGAAATGATTTCAACCAATTGAAAAAAAGACTGGAGATGGACAAGGGATCACAAACTAATCACAAAGGAGAACTATGGGTGCCCTGACTGCCCTTGTGTTTACCTGTCCTCAGTATCATATGCTTAAGGCTTCCTCCATTTGAACTGAATCTCATGCAGCATATTAATTACGGATGAGTGGCAGGAAGACACATCACAACTCAGAATTAAAAGTAGAACAAGAGTAAACCATGAATATGCAGAAATAGGGCATGAAACACCCTAAAACAGAAAATGTGGTAAAATGAAAGAAACTGGAACAAAGGAACTTGCTGCTCACGTTCTAGTGATGGCCTTGCTTGTTGTTAGCCACATATTACTTTTCAATAAACCCTTTTGCTTTGAAACCATTTCACTTGCATGTGGTCTCTTGCTGTTTGTGAGGTGCTCTGGGAAAGTTTTTCTCCTTGGGTCATCCAGAGCCGGGAAAAGCCAGGTGACAATGATAAAAGGCTTGGTGGAACAAAGTTTCTTGGTTTGTGGTGTCTGAGAAGCTGAGCAGCAGAACAGTGCAAGAAAGGAACATAAATATAGATCCTAAGGTCACACTTCCTTGATCTACCCAGACACACATCTAAGAGTGGCGGCTCCCAAGATAATCAAGTTGACAAAATCAAGCTTAACTGGATGCACTATTTTTATTTATCTGTTTATTTATGGTTTTTTGAGACAGAGTCTTACTATGTAGTTGAGACTGACCTGGAACTCACTATGTAGCCCAGGCTGGTCTTGAATTTACAGAGATCCTCCTGCCTCAGCCTCCTGAGTGCTGGGATTATAGGCATGCACCACCACGCCCGGCTCCATGCCCTATTTTTAATACTGTCTTACTAGGAAGTTAAATTCATATTAAAAGTGTGTACATCATAAGAATGCCTTCTTCACTGGCTAAAACAATTTTAAAAGAGATAAAGGAAATCAAAGTTCATTCTGCCTTTGTGGCTGCTGTATAGATCAGGCTGCTATTCTCAGGCAGCTTTGTTACAAAACCAAAGATCTTTTATCAGTGAAAAACAATGAGCAATACACCTAGCATCTAAGACATAAGAGGGAAAATTCAGATCTTTAATTATTTGGCCAGGCCATTGGTTTGAGGAAAACATGAGTTTCAGAGATGAAAATCCTGAGTTCACTACTTTGCATGTAGTATATTAGAACCAACATATACTTTCTATCCAGCACAGCAGCACAATCGGCTTTCCCAACTTTGACACTCAGGAAGAAAAGGAAATCAAGCTTCTGATTCCCTCTCTTTTGCCTCTTTACTGTTATGATCAAGGTGACTTATAAACAGCTGCAACAAAAATGATTTTTTTCACAACTGCCTTCTTAGTAATGTCACTAAAAAAGCAGAAAGGCTAAAGGATACATGACATTCACAGATTTTGCCCCTGAAGCCACAAAATGCACACGAGCAATTTCTTCATTTGACCACAATGAATGGTCATCACAAAAACAAATGTAACTTTGGTATCCCTGATTTGGCTGAGACAGCTTTAGGGCTCAAACTTAATAGACTTTTTTCTGACCGATTAGGATCTTCATGCGGGCTGTGTCATCCTGTCAGAGCCGATAGCCACATCCAAACCACAGGCACAATGTTGACCTTGGTCCATGACCTTAGAAGACAAAATAACAGGACAAAGACTATCATGAGACTGCCAAAGAAAGAACTTGGAAGACAGTGTGCACTTTGCTTTGTGGTATTTTACAGAGGACAATTAAACATTAAGAATAAATTAGTGCTTAAATAAAATGCCTAACAGTAAAAGTAGATTTTTATATTTCAAAGGCCAAGAAAAGCTATGCTTAAGAAGGGATTAACTTCTATCAGATGATATTACGACTGGATTAATGATGTTTCACATTCACTGTATTTATAAAAAAAAAAAAGAGAAAGGGAAAAGAATAGAAATCCAAGGAGCATGTAAGTGATTTCTATAAATCTGAAAAGGTAAAAAAAACTTATGTAAAGAAGATGATGATTACATTAGTGTATTTATTTGTAAATCACTAATTGTTTTTTGCCCTTAAAAACACTCTAGCAATTTAGGTACATTGCTGTTAACAGTTTTCTAACATGAGGAAAGAGTGTGTGTGTCTGTGTATACACATGTGTATGCAAATGTGCATGCATGTGTGTGTGACAGAAAAAGCAAGAGAGCGAGTGTGAGAAAGGAGTCTCACTCATATGTACGCTTTATATTCTACCAAGTATTTTAGGCCATTCTTATTTTAGACAATTGTTTTTGTAATAGATATACTGAAGGTGATCATTTTATTTTATTGCTAGTCATTGCTGCCTGAAATATTTTGCCAGATGAAAGTAATTACTATGACTATATTACTTTTCTAGCCTGTTCTGTGTTGGATTTCAAGTACTTGCAGTATGAAATTCTGTTACCCTATTTTAAAAACATCACATACTGCTATGCTTTGACCTTTCTTACATAAAGAAATACAATGGTTATGTTGTTTCTTTTTAATTCTCCCTGATTTTTTTATTTTTAAGTGTATATCTTTACATCTATATAATTGCAGGAACACTCTAGCCTTATGCGACAATATGAAGATTAGAAACATTGAACGATGCAATAACTAACATGAGTATAATAAGCAAGGAAATGCAACAAAACATTTTAAGCTAATACTAATAGCAGCTATATCATATCTAAGAAAGGAAGAAAATACAGGGGAAAAAATTCTAGAAGGAAGGAAAGGGGAGAGAAAGAGGCAGAAAAGGCGTGAGAAGCATTACTAAAGCAGAGGTTATAGCAATAATTTAATCTCATCAATAAATTCTTGGCCAGCATTACATAAACTAATATGCTTCAGATTTGAAATCATATGCTACCTAATTCCTGCTCTCTAGATTTCACTCCTGCTAACAGATCTGCATTAGGTGTGGGACTTTTATTTGTAACCATGGTCAAAGGAAAACATTACTGGAAAAAAAAAAAAAAAAAACACAACTATTTCTGTCCTTTTGGTTCCCAAAGCTGAAAAAAGAAAGGAGATCTTGCATCTTGACTTTCCTTCATAATTAGAATTCTCTCATTCTCCTTTAATATCTTTCATTCCAATCTCCTACTGTATTTACTAGTGAGTTTTCCTTAAGATAGTGACCAAGCACTCCACAAATATTGATCCCAGAGAAGGTTGGGGAGACAATACATTTAAGCAGCACCGCTCCAAGGATAGCCATGCTTTCCACTGCACACACCAGACAATTGTGTTCCTGATTTGAATGTTCATCAAAACCAGCATGAGACAACTTCTCACCATTCAAGAGACAAACAGAACTTGCCACAACATTTTCTGGGGTGTAATCGTACCTGTGAGTCACAATATGTTTTTTCTTTGGTTCATTTCCTTTTTAACTTTGTTTATGAAAGCATAGACCAGGTTTCCCAGGTTAAATTTCTTAGAAAGACTGGCTTGTTCAAGTGTTACCAATATTATGCTAAGAATTTGAAAAGCTGTATTTTCTACTGGGAAAAAGGAAAATCTGAATCCACAAACAACTGTTAGACAGTTCGATTCAGTCATTCTAAAAGTCCCCAGTACTGTCAGGTTGTGTGGCATACCCCCGAAATCTGACCATGCTGGTGATTGGTGGCTGAGGGTAGAAGAGTTCTGAACCACTGATATTAGGAGAAATGATGTGTAGGAAATGATTCTCTCATTAGGCACCCACATTTCATAAAATCTGCTTGGTCCTACACCAAAATCATATAAAGCAAATAATGTCAAAATTGATTCAGACTGCAGAAATGAAGACACTAATTCACCTGAAGCTAAACTAGTTTCCACAGAATGTGTTACTGATAGTTGTGGTAACTTCAGCTGGCTTCAGAACTCCACAAAGCCACAGCCAGAAATATGTGCGGTTATTTCTGTTGTATGAGGGACTGAGGTTGGAGGCTCAGTGGAGGTGCCGGGTAGAGTCAGCAGCAGGGAGGCTCTCTGAAGCTGTCAGAAAGGATGACACTTAGGAAGGGTAAGAAGCCAAGGAAGTCAGGTCTGGGGCTCAATGCATGGCGTGTTCTCTCCAGGCAGGAAGGAGAATGAAGGGGGGTTGCATGAAACAGATGTGGGAGACTGACCAGCCTGCTGTGTCACAGAGCCTGAGGGTCAATCTAAGGCTACAGTCTGCTAAGTGCTGCAGACGGGTCAAAGTTATGGCTTCAAGAACTGAGCACTGGGCACTGTACACTAAAATAAGTTCCCTTTCAGTGATATAGCAAGGACAAATGCATGATGTGGAGGATATCAAGGAATGAATGTGAGAAGAGTGAACGTGGCAGTCCAGAAGGGGGTACATCCACTGTCTGTGTGAAACGTCGACACAAGTTGAGGATGCCCAGCTGATCCAGTAGGGCCAAGAAGGTGCATAATTCAAAGCACAAACGATTTCCATAGGGAAACACTAAAAATCTGTTTCAAGCCAGTATGGAGATAACGGATAACTAAGAGTAAAAATAGTTACACAGCTATACATGAAGTATGTCGTAAAATATTTACGATATACATTTAGAGAACATTTAATGATGGGAACATTTAGTGAAACAGGCATTATTATGAATAACATTCTTAGCAGGTATATTTGAAGTTTACCAGTTCTTTCTTATATCATTCAGAAGTCCTACAAGGAAGGTCTTATTGTTATTTCTATAATACCACTGACAGTAACATATCTGGCTCAGTGTACAATCAACCAGTGGTTTAGATGAGACATATATCTTCTGATGTTTCCCCACTATCCAATTCCATTTTACTTCCACAACAAATTAATTCTTCAATAGAAGAGGGCCTGAAAGTTACAGAACGTGTAACAAGACTTGGAATAAAAACACACTTTTAAAAATATACATATATGTTTCAGAGTATTATGTCCTACTTAGCTTTATCAGAAGGATGTTAAAGGGCCACCAGAAAATTCAGAATTAGCCTCCTCTATTCCAGTGATTCCACCTACAAGAGTTACCTTGTGCACCCAAGTCCAACATCTGCCAGAAGGTACTCCAGCATTGCTTTCCTGTGGAACATCCATAAAGACAGTTCATTTTCAAAGATATGAGTCTTCCCTAAATATCTTATGACTGAAACACACACTGCAGATCTGCTAGAATACTCATATCAATTTTTTGTACCAAAAATTCTAAAGTAAGATTTTTATAAAGGATAATTAGCCAAGCTAATATAGTAATAAGTGGAATACATATGTACTAAAATATCTGCTTTGTGTAATGCAGAACTGGTGTTTCAGGAGATTAACAATTATGATCGCCAGTCCTCTTCTGATTCTATAATACTCCACACAATCTTTTTTAAATTACTTTATTAACCTTTCCTCCTAGCACAGAAGTGCCCGATTATAGATAATATTTCAAAATCATCTGAGGTGTAAGTGTGTTTGATTTGCTCGGTAATTATTTGTCTACTTTATTACATTGGCCAAGCACACAAGCTCCTTGACCAGCTTTATTTCAAGTCCAGTTAAGAACAGGGTCATATCATTTTGTGGATCACTCCCTTTGGGCCTCAACGTACATGAAATTTTCATCCTGGAGAAGGAGATGGTGCATAGAAACAGTACGTTTTAAACATGGAGAAATCGTTCGCTGCCCTGTCATTAAAGGTTTAAGGCCCTGGGCTTAATGGAAAGAACGTTGTTCACAAGTGAGAGGAAGGTGTTTATTCCCTGCATGACTGGGACACAGGGCATTTAAGTCTGAGCATGCAAATGTTCTTTGATGAAGTCTAAAAGCACATCACTCATTCACCCGCCTGGTGGCCTTACCCACTGTCTTTGTAATCTGTCCCTTGTCATTCATACCACCCAGGACAACACTTCTATTTTGATCTGAATTATAAATACATTTCCAGTATGTATGTTGACTCACAGAGGCAGAAAGAAATGGGGAGGGGACAGCACAGAGGAGAATACAAACCTTGTTCTTTTAACATGGATCTGGGGAAAGGAAGGAACCACTGAAAAAAATCACAGTAGGTTTTGAAGAGGGAAAGTTTGCCAGTTCCAACTTTACAAGTAGGGTCAAATGAAACTGATACTTGTCCTTTAAAGACAAAAATGTAATAAGATGCAACAGGGTACGGGCTTATTGTGGAAGGCTACCACCAGGATAAAAGCACAAAGCCAAGGACTCTTTATTGTCCACAATGAACAAATCCTGAAATATCCATATGTAGCAGGATTCCAGGGCTCTGTTAGTAATACAGGATACGGCTGGTCAGCTCAGTCACCCATGGAATTACAGTGTAGGGTATGGATGCCAGTATTTTAGACCCAAACCAAGCATAAAAACCACAAAGTAAAATTCAGTGTCAGCACAAAGTTGACAGCGAATGATTATAACAGCTTCGAAGCTTGAAAAAGAGTGTAAATAACTAGGATCCCCTGCGGGCTCACTCAGGCTGCATACATAACAACTGTGATGGACAGTCTCTGTGGTAAATTCGGATCCAGGCACTGGGAAGATGCAAAAATTCTACTAGAAAAGATCCTCAATTGTCACCTTCCTGACTAAATCAGCTACTTTCATATGGGGAGAGAAACAGTGCTATAGGTCCACCTTTGGAAGGCCAAATGCCCTTT